ATAAAGGAAAATGACATTAGTTTTTTCCTAATGAATATATCATCATCATTAATATTAGTATTAGTATTATCATTATTAGTATTGTTATCATTATTATTATTATTATCATTATCATTATAATTGTCGTTATTATAATTGTTACTGTTATCATTATTGTTGCCATTACTATTACCAGTATTATCATCATGATTGTCATTATTATTAATACTATGGTAATAGTGAAAACTATTATTATCATTACTATTTTATTATCTTTTAATAGTATTAGTATCATCATTATCATTATCATTATTATTATCATCATTATTATTATCATCATTATCATTATTATTATTGTTGTTGTTGTTGTTGTTATTATCATGATCAGTAGCAGCAGCATCATAATTATTACTATTATTGTTAATATAATTTTACTTTTATTTTCATTATTATTATTAGTAGTAGTAGTAGCAGCAGCAGCAGCAGGCAGCAGCAGCAGCAGCAGCAGCAGCAGTAGTAGTAGTAGTAGTAGTAGTAGTAGTGTCATTATTATCATTATTATTATCATTAGTAGTAGTAGTAGTAGTAGTATTGTTGTTGTTGTTGTTTTTATTATTATTATTATCATCATCATCATTATCATTAACATCATTATAATTATTATTATCATCATTATCCTTATTGCTATTATTGTTATTATTATCATTACCATTATTATTATTGTTATTGATACCATCACCCTTATAATCCTTATTAGAATTACCATTGCCATTATCATTATCATTATTGTCGTTATCGTTATCATTTTCATGATAATAATAATATTGATTACTATGAAAATTATTATGTTGATTATGATGATGATAATTATAATAATAATGATAATAGTAACGATTATAGTAATAATTATAATGATAGTAATAATGAAAATAACAATGCTGACTTTTGAAAAATTCTAATTATATGAAAATAATGGTAATAATTATGATAATAATAATAATGATGATGATGATACTAAAAAGGATAATAATATTAATAATTATACTAATAAATTATTATTATTATTATTATTATTATTATTATTATTATTATTATTATCATTATTTTAATTATTATTATTATTATTTATTATTATTATTATTATTATCATAATTATTATCATAATGATAATGATAATGATAACAATAGTATTAATGATAAATGATGAAATAACAATAATGAGAATAATGATGATAATTATCAATATCATTGTCAGTGTCTTTATTATCATTGTTATTATTATTGTTGTTATTGTTACTCTTATTATTATTATAATTATTATTATTATAATTATTGTTATTGTTATTATAGATATTATCGTTGTCATTATTATTATCGTTATTATTATCATATATTATTATTATTGTTGTTGTTGTTGTTGCTATCATTATTGTTACCATCGTCTTCATCAGCAATAGCAGCACAATTGTAATAATAATAATAAGAAGAATAGTAGTAGTAGTATGATAATGATAATAAAGATAATACTTATGATAACAGTAATGATAATGATAATGATGACACTAATATTAATGATAATAATAAAGGTAATAATAATAATGATAATAATAATAATGATAATGATGATGATGATGATGATGATGATGATGATGATGATGATGATGATAATGATGCCACTACTACTAATAATAATGATAATAATGATAATGATAATTTCAATAGTAACGATAATGATAATATTAGTAGCAAAAATCATAATAGTAATAATAATGAAAGTAAAAATAATAATGATGAAAACAATAATGATAATCATGATAATGATAACAAATAAAGTTTTAATGATAATGATAACACTGATAACAATAAGGATAGCAATACTACTACTTCTACTTTTACTACTACTACTAATTATTATTATTATATCAATAATAATAAAATGAGAATGAAAATAAGGATGATGATGATAGTGATAGTAACGATAATAATGATATAATAATAATAAGGATAATAATGATTATAAAAATAATAGTAATAATAATGATAATAATAATAATGATATTAAGTATAATAATGATAATAATAATGATATTAATAATAATAATAATAATAATAATAATAATAATGATAATAATAATAATAATAATAATAATGAGAACAATAAAAGTAATCATCATCGTCACCATCACCATCATAACGATAATTATGATAATGATAATAGTGATGATAATGAAAGTGATAATGATGGCAATGATGTTAATTTGTATAATGACCATTGCCATTTCTGGTATCATTGCTTTTGTTATCGTTGTCATTTTTTTTATCATTATTACTATTTTTATTGTTATTGTTATCACTATTATCATAATTGTGTTTTGTTTTTTATTATTCAACATTATTATCATTATTATTGTTGTTGTTGTTATATATCATTATCATTATTACTATGATTATCATTATATAGCAATAATAATAATGATAGCGATGTTAGCAATAATAACAATGTTTGTGGTTGTTGTGATTATCATTATAATTATTATCATTGCCATCGTCATCATCATCATCAGTATCAGTATCAGTATCATGATCATTATTATTATCATCACTGTTATTATTCTTATTCTTATCATTATTATTGTTTCTAACATTACTACGTATTTTATCATTACTACCTATATTTTGTTATTAATATCATTAATATCATTATCATTGTCCTTATCATAATTTTAACTTGAATATGATTGTTATTTTCAACATTAACATTAATAATATTACTGTCATTATTATCATTAGCAGCATCATTATCATCATTATCATCATTATCATCATCATCATCATCATCATTATCATCATCATCATCATTATTATCATTATCATCATCATCATTATCATCATCATTGTTATTACCGTTACCTTTTTGCCACTGTTACTACTACTGCTGCTGCTACAATCATCATGATTTGCTATCATCATCACCCTCATCATCATAAGCATCGACCACTATCCTCATCATCAGCATCATCACCATTATCATCATTCTTTTCCTTCCCGTTCTCCTTCGCCTTTCCGGCCGCAAGCAAGCAACATGCATTACAGCATATCTGTGGCATGTTGCATCAGGTTCTATCTGCTCATCCATATAAATCTACATTTACTGATAACATCGTTGCTTCCTTTTAACTGTATCTATATCCCCTTTATATCTTATCTTTATGGCTGTATTTTCTTTGCCTTGATATTTCCTATCAGATATTTGCATATTTTCTGCCTTGCATTTGTTGTAATATAATTCTTTTTTTTTTATTCATATAATATTGTATTCTGGGATAGGCAAACCTTCACGTCAAAGTGTATGGAGTACATAAGCCTACGTTTGGGTAGACTAATAAGATTATTTAAGAAATGATCTGTTTGTGTGATATTTTTGCCTTCTCTTTCTGTTAGTCTTTCTATCTGTCTGTCTTTCTTTATCACTACTGTATATCTGTCTCTATCCTCATCTACCTAAACTACACTTCTCTCTCTCTCTCTCTCTCCTCTCTCTCTCTCTCTCTCTCTCTCTCCTCTTCTCTCTCTCTCTCTCTCTCTCTCTCTCTCTCTCTCCTCTCTCTCTCTCTCTCTCTCTCTCTCTCTCTCTCTCTTCTCTCTCTCTCTCTCTCTCTCTCTCTCTCTCTCTCTCTCTCTCTCTCTCTCTCTCTCTCTCCTCTCTCCTATCTCTCTCTCTCCTCCTATCTCTCTCTCTCTCTCCTTCTCTCTCTCTCTCTCTCTCTCTCTCTCTCTCTCTCTCTCTCTCTCTCTCTCTCTCTCTCTCTCTCTCTCTCTCTCTCTCTCTCTCTCTCTCTCTCACACACACACACACACACACATTTACACACTACCCTCTCTCTATTCCACCTTCCCTTCCCCCACTCTCTCTCTCTCTCTCTCTCTCTCTCTCTCTCCCCCTCTCCCACTCTCTCTGTCTCTCTCTCTCTCCTCTCTCTCTCTCTCTCTCTCTCTCTCTCTCTCTCTCTCTCTCTCTCTCTCTCTCTCTCTCTCTCTCTCTCTCTCTCTCTCTCTCTCTCTCTCTCTCTCTCTCTCTCTCTCTCTCTCTCTCTCTCTCTCTCTCTCGCTTCGCTCTGTCTATCTATCTGTCTGTCTGCCCCCCCCCCCCCCCTTTCTCTCTCTGCCGATGATGCAATGAAGATGAACCAAGATCGTGAGAGAGAAGAAATAGGTCGCTCTATGTGTTTCACTTTCACCTTTCCCTCTCTGGGTATGCTTACCTTTTATTCAGGTGCTGAGTGAATATTCTAAGGTTTTTATTTGAAGATGTAGGATAGATGGAAAGAGAGAATGGAATGGCGAGAGGGAGAAAACAAAATAGTTGATAGTTGAAAGATGAAAAAACAAACAGGCTCATTTTAGAATTATTATTTTGTATTACTTATTTCGTGTTTCTATGTTTTACTTTCGGTATTGCACAATGCTTTGAAAAACTGAATAGGTAAGATACACTTTGTCTTTGAAATCGGAATGCCGTATTACCTGTAATTTTTCGTTCATATCCTGTGGAGGATTAAATTATTTATATTTATATATTTGTGATAAAGTTTCTTATTGTTGATTAAAGTCATTCTATTTTTTATTTTATGTGCAAATGACTGCTGTATTGATAAAATATAGTTTTAGAAATATAATGAGATTAAAATTCCGAAGCCGAAGTCAAAGCCAGAAGGAGAACATTACCCCTACCACATATCAAGATCCATTTTAACCAAAATGAAACTTCAGACAAGAAATACAAAGTGTAAATACTAATTCAAAAATTCAAATGCTTAGTATCATGTACTCAAAGAAAGAGAAAAGTAACGAAAGACAAGAAAACGTGGCACGAAATGTGGACAAGAAGAGAGACAGGAGTAAAACCGAAATGATAAAGAATTGAATAAAATCAGTTGGTAGATAACAAACTAACATATAATGAATGGAAGATATTATAAATAAAAAACTAAAATTGTTTTCAAGACTACAGAACGTGGCGTAAGAAAAAGCAGGAAAAACGGAAGCAGACGAACGCGAGGGTCAGTGTTGCAGAGAACGTCGTCGCGTGTGGATGTAGCGCTTCCTTTCTCTCGGAATGGCAAACGAGACGACAGAACAAATGGCTCAAATGAGTTTAGGTGAGTCCACATTTTAACAACCACCCGTCCCTATTCATTCCTACCAGAACGAATTAGATCCACATACCCTATTTTATCTCCTTTTTCGTAATCTTCCAAGATGGACTTAGAACATGCGGCGCGTGTTGTGTCAAAATATGTTTCCTTTTATGACCTATTATTTCATTTAATAACAACAAACCAACACAACTGATATGCTAGTCCTCCTCTATTCCACTCCATTACGGCGAATCCACGTGAAATTCCGTATAATGAAGGTGCAATTTATCTATATAGCATAAGGTCATGAATATCCGGCAGGAGGTCTGAGAGAGAGAGAGAGAGAGAGAGAGAGAGAGAGAGAGAGAGAGAGAGAGAGAGAGAGAGAGAGAGAGAGAGAGAGAGAGAGAGAGAGAGAGAGAGAGAGAGAGAGAGAGAGAGAGAGAGAGAGAAGAGAGAGAGAGAGAGAGAGAGAGAGAGAGAGAATTATGAAATGCGAGTTTTATGGTTTTTGGTTAGGTTTGTGTGGATCGGGAAGAAGATTAATGTTTTTTGAGTAATTTTTATTTCCACACCGCCACCCAAATTGCAAAAATTGTTCCTTGTTTCAATTATTCACATGGCCATAGTTATTTTATTGCAAATGACAGAAATAAGTACGTTTACGAAGTGACTCCACCCTCGGAGACAGTCCCTATTACTCCAGGTACTCCGAGGGAATCCATAGACATTGCCATATGAATCAAAAACCTTCCGACCCCTGATCCAATTGCTGTATTTCCCTGCCGAGGGCTCGGCCCCTGGACCCCCCCCTGTGTGATGTGGGCATAATCTCAGCGCAGCATTAGTCATAACTAATTTTCTTCTTTTCTGACGCTATTTTTTAGCCAACATAGATTATTTATTTATCAGTGAGGGCATTTTTTCCCCTATTTTTTTTCCCATAAGTTATAATATGTCATTACATATTCCTGTAGATTTATACCAAAGTTTTGTGTTGCACAAATCTCATATTATCAACTTGTGAATAAAATTGCTTACCTGTAAGAGCTGCTTTCTCAAGCTTTCTCAAGACTTTTTCTGCTTTCTCAAGATACCCCTATAGATGGTTAGACTTTCACTTTCACTATGGCAACAGTGTCGTTCGTGTACCGTAAGGTTTAGGATGCTTCAAATGCGGGCGTTGGCCCAAGACTCCGCCTAATATTTTATCAAGGGAATTATATTTTACAGTTTCTGTTTCTGTAATTTCCATAATAATATATTCAAAGAAAAAGAACAGAAAATGAAATATGATAAAGGGATTTAATGGAATGAAAAGTTTTTTTCCTTATGAATTGTAAATCATTATAAGACAAACAGTTTATCTCTTACCTTTAAACTCCTCGTCTCTCTTAATGGAGAATATACCTACTATTGAATGAAATAGACTATTTCAATTGGAAAACTTTGAATTAAATATAGTGAATATATTATCATCCTCTCCATCTACATCTGCATCCTTGTCATTAGTGTTATTACATGGAAATTAATCTATTAAAGGCAGATCATTTTTCAAAATTTCTAATAACATTCTTCTGTTGTAGTTATATTCAGTGACTATCATTTACCAAATTCATAAAATTGTAAATATGGAAGTAGGCCTATATTTTATTTCAGTGATGTCCATATCCCGTCAGAGTGTAAGGGTTGCCAGTCGGAAGTGTGTGTGCTGTTTTAGGGCACTGTATATATGTAGGAGAAAATATTATGCATTGTAAAGATGTTAGGGTAGCTATAATCATTTAGAACATTTAATGTGGAAGATACTTAAGTTTAAGCATGATTTTTAAAGCTTGATATATAATAGAGCTGTCCGTGCAGATCAGCAACCATGCTCCAACTTCAGCAGTCGTTTTAAGCAGCAAACAGTGCAGTTCTTGGCCTCGGAGTGATGGTTCTTAACCAAGTAAACCTGCTTAAAATGCCTTTATTTCCATTCATTTTTCCAAGGCTAGAAAACTTCACCTTGTACCATTAGGCTGTGTGAAACTGTAACTATACCCTTTTTCCATCTTCATCATCATTGCCTTTGATCATGCTTGTTATTCATATTTTCTTTACCGTTTTCTTCAACTTTAATTTTTCCTTTCCTCTTCCTCTCCTTCCTTCCTCCTCCCTCCTCCTCCTCCTCCTCTTCTCCTCCTCCTCCTCCTCCTCCTCCTCCTCCGCCTCCTCCTCCTCCTCCTCCTCCTCCTCCTCCTCCTCCTCCTCCTCCTCCTCCTCCTCCTCCTCCTCCTCCTCCTCCTCCTCCTCCTCCTCCTCCTCCTCCTTCATCAAGCAGTACCATTGCTTCCTTTTATTTTGGGATAGTATTAGATGTATTCATTGTAGAAAGTTATCATACTAAAAAAAGTGAGTAAAGGTAAAGTAAAGACTTGAAACTCCCAAGACTATCATATCAAGAACTAGTTTCAGAGGATCATCTTTCAGTGATTATATGGTATTGTATGTGTTTCATCAGTTCAGTTAACTTGTACTATATATTATGTATGTATGTATTAATATATGTATATATATATATATTATATTATATATTATATATATATATATATATATATATATATATATATATATTATATATATTAATTTTTTTTCCCCCAACAACAAACTTAAAAGCAAAGAACAAGTTTAGATATATTCTCATGTACTTGGATATGGATGCAGGCGGTGAAGACCAGTTGTAAATATTGAGGAAGGAGTGCCTGCAGATATGAACACTTTTCATTGTACTCTATATTCTAATATATGTAAGGGGGAGGAGAGCAGAGGTGGAGGGATGAGGTGTGTCAGCCATGTAGAATATGAACCAGATTTTACTGGTTTACTTGTCATTCTTTCTCTTAATTATATATTATTTTCTTTTGCATAGAATTTTCATATTTATTGACTTGTTTAGTGACTTACTTAACCTTTTTATCAGCTCAACTATTTATGTATTTCTGTCCCCAGGGGAGCTCTACACCTCGGAGAAGCATGGCTCAGATGAGACGGGGGATGGTACTGCTGACCGTCCCTTGAAGACGGCCATGCAGGCCATGCGCAAGGCTGGCAAGGAGCCTTTCCCCACCATCTATGTTGACGCTAAAGAGGAAGGACAGGTTGGGATTTGTGCATATTGAGCTTAGATTGTCTTTTTTATTATTATTATTATTATTATAAGTATTATTAGGAGATACCTATTTCTTTGGTAAAAGATGAGTTACTTTGATGTAGATTTTTGTTCATTAGAACACAGTGAAATGAGCTCTTTGTTCAAGGGTTCTATACCATTAGCATCAATAGTAGAACCCGCATTGGATTCTCCGTGCCATTTTGCGTGTCTCAGAGGATGCTGTTGCCTTCTAGAGTGAGGGGCCCAAGGTGTCGGGCAGCAGCAATGCAATAGCCGACATGGCTCCTTGCCTGCAAGCGCTGGACATGCATTTATGTGAGTCCAGTTACCTTGCAGGCCACCAGCCGACACAAGCCGACACTCTCGCCCACCAGCGGCTAAGAGGGGGAGCCATAGCGACAGCAGAGACCCAAGGTGGAGACTCCCATGGCTACCCCATGTCGCACGCTGGTGGAGACACATTGAGAGTTTTGGCAGCGAGGGAGGGGTTTCCTTCTGCTGACCCTGCTGTTCTGGAGCGGTTTAGCTTAGGGATGTATGTTTACCGCAGGTGAATGTCGGCTGGTGTGTACAAGTAGCGCAGTTTTAGTAAAAGAAAAATTAAAGGTTTTCACTGTTTTTTCCTTGTGCTTATGCATGGATATAATTGTCTTTGTTGAAACTCGCAGTTGGAATTTATTTTTGGCAGAATTTAACCCATTCGCTCCAGATTTCCTATCATATGATGGCAAAAATTTTATCATTTCTGGGAGACACCTAATGACTTTACTAACCCAGTCCTGTTGTCTGGTATGATGCCTTATTTACTCAGCCCTGCCAAATTTGATTTGACATTTTAATTTGTGAAATGGGTTAAGTTTTCTCTTGGATAGTAATTCATTGAGTTTCATCCGTTCTTTCTTATGATACCTGTTCAGTTATTTTTTCATCTTATTTTCATCATCGCTTTCGGTCTCCTGCATTTGGTAATGCCTGCATGGGATTGTGCTTTACAGAGTTTTAAGATAAAAGATTCATTAAATGAAACAATGACTTTCATTCTCAAGTTCGAATCGCTTTAAAAAACATGTTGGGGGGGGGGATCTATGGAGAGACTGGCTTGTTGGACATTGCCATTAGTTTCATACACAAGTAATGATGACAGTATTGCATGTTTACTTAAATCCATTTTTCAAGTGAATTTTAACTTAAAGTTAGTGTGTGTCCTTATGTACAACTGTAATAGTTATATTAGTAAATGAGTAGTTTATTGTTATTTTTTTTATTATTATTATTATTATTATTATTATTATTATTATTATTATTATTATTATTATTATTATTACTATTGTTATTGTTATTATTTTCATTTTTATCATTGTTATCAATTTTATGGATATGAGTATTATGGTGATGTTGATTATGGTTATTATAGTATATTATCTATTTCTTTTATTTTGATTATTATGATGATTATGATTATAATGATGTTTATGGTTGTTATTACATACTATATATTTCTTTTATTAGGATGATAATTATTTTTATTATTATTACAGTTAATATTTTTGATATTATTATTATTAGTAGATAGTAGTAGTAGTAGTATAATTATTATTATTACTAGCTATTATTTTCTTTGTTATTGTCATTATTCATAATGATATTCATATTGTTCTTATTTTTATTATTGTCATACACAGACTGTTGACCCATAGTGATTTTAGAGTATAGTAAAAAATGAAAGAAAGAAAGGAAGTAAAAGTAACATGGTTAACAGAACACAAAATTAGCAAGTGTATTATCTTGAATGTTGAGAACCTTCAACTAAACCGAAGTATTTTTTCATTGTTTTCAGAAATACGAAGTGATTGCGAAGAGTCAGTTGAAGAAGCTCACAAAACTCTGGAAAGATGTAAGTACACATTGGTACATGAAAGTTAAGATTTTTCTGCTTAGGTTGCAAAGGCAGATGGTAAAAGCTATTGAATTTGAAAACCAATACTGCAATGACCCATTTTTGTCGTAAAGGTCAATTAGTTTCTTATAATAGCTATAACTGGCATTACTAGATAAATTGATTTCAGTTGTGGTTTTGAAGTAATAGTAGCAAGGTCTTTAATGTGGAGAGAGATAGGTGATATTGTTTTTTGGGAATAAGAGTCCAATGTTTGATACCACAAATGTTTTTCCATTTTAAGATTCATAGTCAAGAAGTTATTTCAAAGATTGTGGATTTCAGCATCATTAGTTTGAAGGAAAATTTTCCCAAATGACCATGTTCTTTGATCTGAAATAATCACCCAAAATAATGACACCCATTCCAGGAGTGCAAAAAGATTGAAGCTCGGCTCAAGAAAGAGAAGGAAGATGCTGAGAAGAGGGCGAAGGCCATTGAGGAAGCCAAGAAGGTCGTGATCACAGAAGACAAGAGCCTGCCGGCCCCCACATGCATCAAGATCCGCGACGGGAAGGAGCACAGAGGGAAACGTGTCAAAATCAGGGGATGGGTCCACAGGCTAAGGAGGCAAGGTACGTGAGGGGGAGAAGCTGTTGGGGCTTGAGTTGGTGTTTCGTTTATTGTTTTAATTGAAGAAAAATTTGTCTTACATAGTCATTATTATTATTATTTTATATTATTATTATTTTTTTTTTTTTTTTTTTTTTTTTTTAAGAAAGAAAGGATTCTTTAAATGATGGTGTTCTTTTTGCAGTGACAGTATATATTTTTTGAATTGACCAAAAAAATATAAAAAAATAAAAAATAAAAATGATAAAAATAATAATAATTCAAGAAAGATAATCTGGTCATGCAGAAAAGAAAAAATAGACAAAGAAAGTAAAGATCATTAATGATGTTGATTATTATTAATGATATTGAGTATTATTAATAAGCAATGGCAATAGTTAGTAATGATAATGATAGTATAGCATTGAAATTGATTAATTAGGAATATTATTCCAGGCAAAAACATGATGTTCATCGTTCTGCGAGATGGCTCAGGATACCTACAGTCGGTGCTGACAGACCAGCTCTGCCAAACGTACGAAGCCATCATCCTCAACACAGAAAGCACTGTCACTCTCTATGGCATGCTGCAGGAGGTGCCAGAGGGGAAGGAGGTCAGTGGAATGTCCAGTGTTTGTTATTATTACTGATGTTTATTATTTATTCATTTGTAGATTTTTGTAGATTTGGGTTTTGTCATTATTTAGTTTTATCTATTTTGGCAGTATGTACATTTACATTTTTTAGACTGACTACAAATTGACCTAATATTGACAACATTTAGACAAATTCTGTCAGCATTATATTGCAAAACCTCCTGCTTCTCCCATAGGCCCCAGGTGGACATGAACTCCAGGTAGATTACTGGGAGCTGGTGGGAGAGTCACCAGCTGGTGGTGCTGAGGCAGAGATCAACCAGCTGTCCAACCCCGATGTGCAGCTGGACAAGCGACACCTTATGATCCGCGGAGAGAACTGCTCTAAGGTAAGAGAAAACAGGCTAGGGAGAACAAAAGTGACCATGTTTGTTAATGTAGCATGAAGCCTTTTTTTCATAAGCCATGAAGGAAAATCATAATTTTGAGAGGTGCTAAGTATTACTTACTGAGATTGCATTCTGAAAGAAGTCACAGATTTACTTCTGCACTCCAACATCCACCCAGTCAGAAATGGATTCAAACTCAGCCCATGAAAGATCACTCCAATTAGTTAGATCAAATGACTCCTGCACTCCAGCCGGCCCAAGTTGACTCCATCCACCCAACCAAATACATACCCAATGCCCTTTCTCACCCCCCCCCCCCCCCTCCTTCTTTGCTAGCCACCCCTAACCAGGATTTTCTGTTGCTTGTCTTGCAGGTGCTGCGGCTGCGTTCAATCCTTATGAAGGCCTTCGTAGACCACTACACAGACCGCGGCTATGAGTGGATATCCCCCCCAACCTTGGTGCAGACGCAGTGTGAGGGTGGGTCCACACTCTTCGACTTCAATTTCTTTGGGGAGAAAGCCTACCTCACCCAGTCCAGCCAGCTGTACCTCGAGACGTGCATTCCCAGGTGAGGGCAATTTCCCTTTTTCTAGTGCAGGTTTTTGTCTGTCTTTTGTGGTTTTGGATGTGATAATACCTAATTCTTTGTTTTTTAATTTTTGGTTAGTTTGGTGTCATTTGTTGTGCAGGGAAGTTTACTGTAAGTTTTTTCTTTCTTCATATTACCATAACGTGATGTATCTTATGCATTGCTTACAGTTTCGGTGATGTGTTCTGCATTGAGCAGAGTTACCGAGCAGAGCAGTCACGTACCAGAAGGCATTTGGCTTCTTACACTCACGTTGAGGCCGAGTGTCCCTTCATCAGCTTTGATGACCTCCTGGATCGCATTGAGGATCTGGTATGCAATCTTTATTTTAGGGGTCCAGAAGAATAAAAGAAACAGAGGCAGTCTTTATTAGTTAATTTGATATGGTAACTTCTTCCCAAAATAAAGGCAGTTAGATTTATTTATAATTGTTATTAATTTCTGAATTTTATGATGTATTTTTATTTACTTTTTTATGGGAAAACTATAATCATGCAATAAGTTTATTTTGATATTGATCATGATTTTATTTCTTTACGGAACTGTGAAATTTTACATTGATATTCTTGTGAGCTGTAAAATGTTATATCTCATTACAATGCAATGTTATTTTCTCCCAAATAAGGTGTGTGATGTGGTGGACCGAGTGTTGAAACACCCAGTAGGCGGAGAGCTGATGAAGGACCTCCACCCTGAGTTCGTGGCCCCTACTCGGCCCTTCCTCAGGATGCCATACAAAGACGCTATCCAGTACCTTAAGGACAATGGTATCACCAAAGAGGACGGGACGCTGTACGAGTTTGGAGAGGTCAGTTTGGTTGTGGTTCAATGAGTTTTGTTAGTATGTGAGTGGGTGAGAGAGTGAGTGGGAAAGTGATAAGTTTGTCTATTTTTATCTTTGTGTGTGAGCAGGAGAATGAGTGTGTGTTTGGTATTGTTGCGCTCAAGGAGTTGTTCTATTCCTTTCCTTTGTCAGCGCCATCATGAAAAGGCCAGTCTGGATAGCTTCCTTCAAAACCTTTCTTTTTCTACTGGAACTTCCAGTTGTTTTCCTCCTCTTTTCATCATCTCCCATTTTACCTTGGTTTCTATTTCCCATCTGCTGCTTTTTTTCTTCTTTTTCTCCCTGTATTGAAATAAACTTGTCAGTTATTCAGTTACTTCTTCTGGCCTGAGTGCAAAATCATATCTCTTCAGCTTCTCTGCCTCCCATCTTTCCTCATTGTCGTCATCATCACCACCACCATCAATCATCCATCATCAATCATTATTTTCCTTATTTTCATGTTAATCCTTTCAATTTCACTCTTCTCTTTATTTTTCTTTGTTCCTTTCTCTTTGTACTGCCACATTTATTGCTAACTTCTCCCCTTATCCTCCACAGGACATTCCCGAGATGCCTGAGCGCAAGATGACAGACAAGATCGGCAGACCAATCCTGCTGAACCGCTTCCCTGCGGGTATCAAGGCCTTCTACATGTCCCGCTGTGAGGATGACAAGAGCCTCACTGAATCTGTGAGTATTCACCACTATTCTTGTCATTGTTGTTATTATTACTACTGTTGTAGTTATGATTATTATGATGATTATAATTATTTTTATTAAAGTTCAGTCTTTCTAATATAAAAATAGACTGCATATGACATTTTATATGTAAGAAGTCACAGAACACTAACTTCAAGGCATTTGAGATTTCAAAAAATGTACAGCAAAACCTTTGAAAATATAAACTTTTTGCGCATGCAATCGCACGCCTCTTTAAAGCTTTTGAGATTTTAAAATCATGTACCGCAAAACCTTTGAAAACATAACCTTTTTGCGCATGCAGTCGCACGCTCTCGACTGAAAATTATTGTTGATATATCATTATTGAAATTGATAATGTTAGTGATACTATCATTATTTTTGTTATAGTTATTATGTGATATTGTTGATGTTGATGTTGATGATCTCCACATCGTTTTGTCATTTTAATTGATATTATTATTCTCTTATATGTATAAACTTACATTTTGGTATCGCATAACATGTTATTTATTTGTTACTAATTATACTCTGTTGGACAAACAACCATTATGACATATGAGAATTAACAATATTTATATTCAATATTTCCTATATATTATCCTCATCTTAATCACACTTGATAATCCTTTCAGGTTGACTTGTTGATGCCAGGTGTGGGAGAGATTGTCGGAGGCTCAATGAGGATGCACGATTACCAAGAACTCATGGATGCTTACAAGGCTAACGAATTGGATGCAAAGCCATACTATTGGTATACTGATCAGGTAAGTGCTTTTTGGTAATTGTTTGTTATTACAATTAAGGGAGTTTTTTGATAATCTGTTTCTTTATTTGAAGTAATTATATATTGTAACCTCTATTTTTTACTGGTTTGTTTTTTTGGTGGCCTAGTTACTAAGAATGACAAACAAACAGACAAACAAAAAATCCATGGATGTTATATCTTTGTTACATAGATCTAAAAGTAAGATTTTATGCTTGCTAATTTTTTAACAAATTCATAAAATTCATTATATAATTTATAAATGATAAGTGATATAATTACCTCAACATGTATCTCATTTCCTTTCATTTCAGCGCCGGTATGGGACCAGCCCCCACGGTGGTTATGGACTGGGCTTGGAGCGCTTCCTTTGTTGGATAGCCAACCGCTACCACATACGAGAAGCCACACTTTACCCCAGATTCGTCGGCCGTTGCACGCCTTAAGCAAATAATGATTAATAAATATATTATAACCACAGTGTGAAAGGAGTACTAGGGATTTTTTCTTTCTTTCCTTTAATGTACACACCATTGTTGCTAGAGACACATGGGGAGTCCATCGACTGTTATTTTCAAAGCTGTTTTATAGCTTGCAGTTTTGTATTTCTGATTAATGTGAGATACATTAATGAAATGGCCCTTTTATATTTATGAATAACAACACCATACTTATCTGTGATTCGAGGAGGGGTGTGCCAGAGTAATAAATGGAGAGGGTGGGTTGGGGGGCTTTTTTCATTGCTGAATTTTCCTTAGAAAATTTCATCTGGCCTGATTAAATAATTTGACTATCAAAAAGCGTGCCTTTCTTTTCTTTTATTTAATCTAACAAAACAATTGATTCAGGTTATTTATCATTTCTTTATGATAGTTTTAAATGGTCTTCATTTTTCATATGCAATTCGTACTTGATTTTAAAAGTTGCACCAATTTATACGCAGTAATAATTTTAAAGAGAGGGACATGTTTAAGGCTTGCCCAGAAGAGCAGGCATGATTGGCGGGCATGAGGAGGAGCACCAGTAGAAATGCCATTAGAGGTGGGCAAACTACTTAGTAAACAAGTCATTTTCCCATTGTTTTCTTGGCTCTGATGTTACCATTACAGCTGCCTGTTATTGTGCCTGCTGATCCTGGCTGCTTGTGGAAAGACTTTTTCACTTGTATAGTAGTTTTACCAAAGCATTATTTATGGAAGGTAAATGAAGGCTTAATGTAATGATAACTTATTTTTAAGAAGTAAATTATCCTGTACTTTTCTCCACATTGTTATTTCATATGGGTAAATCTATGTTAAATTGAAAATACACATCCAAAGACTTTTTTTTTTTTTTTTCCTTGGTAACCATTAATTAAAAAATGTGTTCACAAAACTTAAGAACATTTGATATGCATACTCGTGTTCACCTGTACACATGCACACATCCACTCATACACGCACAAGTAATTATGATAAATTGTAGTAATAAATATTTCTATATATAAAGGATATTTGTGGTATACCTCTTTAAGACTCGCTTTTCTTTCAACGTGAGAGGGGAAGAGAGAGAAGAATAAGGAATTCATAGGATATGGAACATTGATGATAAAATATTGGAACAACACAAAAACAGCCAGTGGTGTCTGTGGAGGCAAAGGCCAGAGGAGGAGAAGGGTGACGGAAAGGAGGATGGTGGATCCCAAAATCTAGTTAAATGACCGTTTGATACAAAAGTTTAGTTAAGTGGCTTAAGTCCAGAGCTGATTGACTATTAAATTCATTTAAATTACTTTGATAAGGAAGTACATACAAGTGTGCTAACAGTTTATTGCTGTTAGATAAGTAATACCTCATTGATTTTGAGGTCACTTCCCCCCCGATCCCTTGTTGTCGTGGGAGGGCTTAGGAGACGGAGACTGAGACCCAGTGCAGGGATCTCCCCTGCCTAAGGCCTCAGCCCTCGACTCGACTAATTTTGCATGGTCTTTTTTCCTTCGGCTCTTTCATTTCCGTCCTTTTTCCAACCCCTTCTACTATCTACTTCCTAAGGTGTAAGAGCCATGCTGAAAGGATGAAAGGCTGACTTTGTGCCAGTCCTGAATGGCCAGAGGGAACCATAGGCATGGTATTCCCCTGTTTTGTTGTTTAGCCCTTACACCTCAAGGGGACCTTGAGGGGTGGACTGTTTATTTCCCCAACATAGCCAAGGCTTCCCATGGCCAGTAATGAAGATGTAATACCCATATTAGAGGCAATGAGGCTTGCCCCTTCATCAAATAGCCCAACCGGTTCAAACTCTTCTGGCTCCCCAATCCCAGGCTCTCCTTTAACCATGACTCTGAACACTACAACTACTACCCACTCCTCAATGCCTACTAGTGCATTATCCACCCAAGTCAAGACTCCTACTCTCCCAACTTCAACTTCATCAACTCTACCCCCACAGCCTTCTTCACCAATCACCTCATCTTTCCTTAGTATTACCTTACGGCCTTATTCACCATCTCTCCGTAATATTATCCCCCCTCAATAATACTCCCTCTTTCACAATTCCTCGTCCTTCTACCACCCACAACTCTACCAATATCTTAAATGCTCTATTTAGCCCAGCCAAATGGGACCAATTTTTTGTGATCCCCCCTACAGCTCTTTACTCAAGCAAGACCCTTCTCTTTCAACAATGTCTCCAAGAGCAGAGTCCTCTTCTGTACCCAACCTGATCGTTCCTGTCTTGTTAGTTACATCTGAAACTGAAGCTATAGCACTATCAAATCTAAATGATTTCTCTGGCAATCCCATTCCTGCAGAACCTTACCCAACTCTTAATACTTGTACTAGAACTGTGTCTATCTCCCCAGCATTTACTCGGCTGCCTCAAAGACCGAGATGTGATATCAGTACAGTGTTACTCCATTCCTCCTAGAGGTCATCGAAAGAAACCCACCAACATTACTACCATGATTATTTTCAGTATACATGACCTTCCCTTTCGTATCTACATTGTTGGACAATCCCTCCATGTTCGACCATACCAACCTCCTCCCTGCCAATGTCAACACTATTGGCTCTTTGGACATCCTGCTGTTCCACAGACCGATGTCCCATATGTGCCCAACCTGGTCATAACTGATCAAACTGCTCTGCACAAACACGCACATGTGCTAACTACAGCAGCCCCCATAATGTATTTTTTAGAGGCTGTCCCACTTACAAGTTCGAGTCTGAGGTAGCAACTCTCAGATACAAAAGGGGTCTCACTCTATGTGAAGCCAGACAGGAAGCACGCTGACAAGGTTTCTCTTATACTCCCTACTACAGCTTTAATCTCAACTACAGCTCCAACACCATCCCCTCTCCATCCCCACACTACCCGCAGCAGACAGACTAAACGTTCCCCCCCTTCTTCCCCTACCACACTCACCTCCACCTACCTTTGCCTTTATTCCTCAGACACCAGTCTCCTCTTCCCCCCTCATAAGAAAACCTTTGTCTCACAAAACTCTCCAACTGACTCCACTGCAGAAACTATGGAAGATATTCAATGCTATGTGCTTAAGACACAAAATTCCTCAACTCATGCTCCCTCCCCACTCAAAGTGACTGCCGATATCCATCCCCCTCCTGCTCATATTCCCCCTACACCCCTCCGTCCTACTCCCTCTCAACACAACCTAACCCCCTCATTTCTGCCTACTACTGATATCCATCCTCCTGATAGTACCAATATCAATCCTCCTACTCATATTCCCCCTACACCCCTTCCTCCTACTCTCTCCCAACACAACCCATCCCCCTCAACTCCAACTACACGTACATTCTCCCTCCCTCCATCCCCTCTATCATTTCCACTCCCTCCTGGATACACATGTGAAACACTTATGTAATTCCCTTTCCTAAACCCACCATAGCCCATTCACACAGCAACTTCTTTATCCATCTTTAACCTTTCAAGATCACTCTAGATAGTTGATGCATTATTTTTGGGGGTTAGCTTCACAAATTCATGCTTCTATTAATTCTTGCCTATAGACTGTATCAAATCTGGATTCTTTAAAAGTCATGGAATTATAATAGTCTTGATAAACTTACTTGATAAAATGTAGAATTTTCTCCCCTTATTTTCTGGTTTCACACAGGCTACTTGTTCAAATTTTTATTGGTTATGTGAATTGAAGAGATATTGGATGGAGGGCAGCAGTCTTGACAGATTTTTTAAGTTTAAAGCATGATTTTTTTTAGGGGGGTGGGGGTCAGGAGGTGCCACACATTATAATACTTTAACTCAGAGTACAGACAAAAAACAACCACTCTGTCCTAGAACTATGTGAGACAATAAGCCCTGTTTATATAGTAACCTAGAAAAAATATGGAGTGAATCTTTATCTCGTTTTTTTAATTGAAGGCTCTGATAAAGGTGTATGTAATAATTATACAATAACTCTTGGAAAGTGTTTTTCAGTGAATAATCTAACTAACCAGGGTTACCAATTGGTCAAGGACAGAAGGTCAAGATTAGAAATATAATCATGATACTAGCATCAAAGCAAATTGTGCATTATAAATAGAAAGCAGAAAACTAAGGATATTCGTTATTCTATCTTGATAAAATATCAGATATCTTGGCACTAATGTTATTTTAAGTATTAAAGTGCATGAATAACTGGTCATCTGTGTAAACTGGCTGAATTTAATGAAAAATCTGTTATGATGGTTGATTTTAATGTTGCAGACATTTATTTTTGTAAACCTTTGCAGGGTTATCCAAACGGGGTTAACCCTTTTATGGAATTTTAGTTGCAAGACTGCTAAAGCACTGATAGCATGGAATGGCTTGAATAATCCACAGTTGGCTTGTCTTCTTGAATCCAGTTAATAATTTAATTAATCACAGTGAACTCTGTTTAAAGATCCTCAGCAACATTATGGATGAAAAATATAAAAACAAAATAAGTGCAAATTCTTTTAGAGCATAAAACAATATAATCACTATTTACCGAAGATATGAAAATAGTTACCTTTAGATTGAATGAAGGCATGAGTGGGCTGACAGCTTTGCCTAATAGCAACCCAAATGTTTGTTAGGTTTCACTTGCTTATCAGGACTTCTACTGTACCTACAGAACAGTGTTTTACATTATATATTTCTTCCTTTTTTCATTTTGTAACTGGTATGAAAAAACTCTTTTACTTTAAATCTTTTATTTACAAGTAACATACAGAGAACATCTTACCATGCTACAATGGACATATACAAGACATATTTTGCTATTATAAAGAACCCCAACACAACTTTGCTTTTTCATAGCCCTTTTTTTTCATTTTACCAAAATCAACTAACAATTAAGGGCCTGTCTAGAATACTTGAAGCATTTTTTTCTATACAATCAACAAAGCATTGGATATACAGAACATACTTAAAAATCCTTCTCAAAGATATATATGTATATATGTACGTCAACTGCGTTCTGTACACTGTCAAACAGGAGAGACAAAATGAATAAAAAACGAGTAAGAAAAAAAAAAGTGATTTATATGAATGAGTATTTTTTTCTAAGCCAGTCTCCTGTTAGCACAATACAATGCCTATTCTACATAAAAAAGAGGAAACGAAAGGAAAATCTTATCACATCTGAATATTTTGGAAACAGACACGCGCAGGAGAATTATCCACGTACTAAATAAAGGAAGCATTTGGATGTGGGTATTTTAACCGGTCAAGATAGTTAATATAATGATAACACTATTAATGTATAGATATTGGGATGTTTATATATATATCTGGCATGACTGTTGTAAAACTCTGAAAGCTATGTTGAAATAAAAAGGCTGTGGGCTACTTCTGTCACAAATGCTGAAGTTCTGGAAAAAAAGAAACAAAGGAAAACAAATAATTCTAAATATATATATAACATAACATAACCTTCTCACATAAATGGCACAGTTCCAACCTTTCCTGTAAAATAATGATACAAATAAAAATGACAACAGTTCAGGATAAAAAAGAAAAATTAAAATTGAAAATTGGCCTATGAAATGACCAATCTATTTTACCTCAACTTAAAAAAAGGGACAAAAAAAATGAACATGACCTATTTTATAAAATAATCAAGCAAGCAAAATAAGAATTATTAATAAGGAAAAAAATGTTGCTAGCTGCGTGGACTTCAGTCGTCAATGGAGAGATTGAATTTGTGCTTTTCCATCTCAGCTCGCACATCAAACTCGCGTGGCCGTCGAGCAGGAGAGGAGGTGTCCCCCATACCCCCGGAGACAAGGCCCCTGCTTGCTCCATGTATAGCCTGCCTGGGGGAACCCTGGTGGTGGCGCGGGGAAGAGGTGAGAGGGGGGGAATGCAGGCCCGCCATGCCAGGAGGGGGCACGGCCTGGAGGGGTGTGTAGGGAGCACTGGGAGCCAGGGGACCCACTAAGTCCTGGTGATTTATAGAAAAGAAAAAGAAAGAGAGAAAAGGGAAAAAAGTATTAGAAATTGGATAAGTCCAGAGAAATGATATCCATATGACTGGATTTATTTCTACAACAAATATTCAACTTTTGCTCTTTCTATGACTGTGAACAATATCAGAACAAATAATCAATGGCATGTATAATTGATAAACAAAGGCTTGTTAAAATGAAAGAAAAATGGAAGAAAAACAAAATACACTTTTACATATTAATTCAATGATACACGTAGGCAAAAAGCACATTACACTGAATTCCAAAGTGCATTACTTCAATCAAATGTTTATAATCTGTAGCAAATTTTAAATTCAGCTGCACAAAACATTTATTGCAAAGAAAAGCAAATGAAATACACTTCTTTAGTACCTAATATTAAATTAAGAATGAACTGAATCAAATAAAACCAAGTAATCAGCATCCTTGTCTTGATAACAGCAACATACAGCATCTGTTCCAGGGATTTCATGAGTCGTGTATCAAAATTCCCATCTACGTGTAACTAGTATTCAATACAAAAAGAACTCAATTATTGTTTTTTTTTTCACAAAATGAGGATGGCCAGATTCCTATACTGCATATTTCTTTTGCATCAGTATCTTAAACAGAAACTTAAGAAATGATTTAACCCTTTATTTTGATTTCTGCTTCTCCCTCTATCTCTCACTTTATGGGCAAACTGCTCTTAACATAATTTGGAAAGTATCAAAAATACATTTCCATTCTAATAACAAAAAAAGGATTTATAATAAAAATATAAGTTCTCATTGCATATTTTACATAAGTAAAGATAAAAAGATAGAATAAGCAAAACTAGTATCAAAAACCTTGATTTTGAACTTCACTGACTCAATCAAAAATAAAATCTAAAGACAAAATGTTTTACTTTGTTTTTAATTTTGAAATCTTTACCAAAACATTTTGGTTTCTTATGAATACATAACTTTATACCAAAGAAAAAAACAAAAAATGAGATGCATACATTCAAAAATAGGAGAAAAAAATCTATAAAATGCCTCAGATAGCAACAAAGAGCAAAGTAGCTGGTAGGCATAGAATAACAATAAATAAATGATAAACAAATAACAGCAATAATAATAATCATAAAAATAACAATAATAACATTAACAAAAACAAGAAAAAAATATCAATAATATTATTAACAATATCCATAATAACAAAGACAATCATAGCCCACACCACATAAAAGAAGAGAATTCCCCGAAACGAAAAACCGCATCACTTTATTCCCAGTTCGCATTCCTCAAGCCAACTAATTGGATGTGCAAGTGGACCTAAAGGTGAGTACGCTGGGAATGATGATATTCATGTGCAAGGAAACAGCAGTGAGGAAAAATTGGAAAGAAAGAACAATATATATATATATATATATATATATATATATATATATATATATATATATATATATACATATATACATATATACATATATACATATATATATACATATAATACATATATACATATATATATATATATATATATATATATATATATATATATATATATATATATATATATATATATATATATATATATATATATATATATATATATATATATATATATATGTGATGTGTGTGTGTGTGTGTGTGTGTGTGTGTGTGAGTGTGTGATTGTATATTTAAACATACTGTGCACACATATATGTATATATAGCAGTATGTGCACAAGAGCAACAGTAAAAATAAATAATATATGACACATGCTATTGCTTCAACAGCAGCATCACCAAAAGCACATGACAATTCTTTTCATACTGGATGGCGTACTAAGCCTTAGATCATGCTCTAGACATGTTTAAGGAGGAGGAAGACGTGGACCGCCTTAAGTACCTACTTCTCACACCCACACTCTCTCTCTCTCTTTTAACGATTGAGCACTTGCTGTGTGGGCTCCAGCCGGTCCTGGGGAAGCTGGACGATGAAAGGAACATTGAATGGGGTGAAAATGAAGTTGCACGAATGAAAAGATGTTACATGATGTGAAAAAAAATGAATGATAAGTAAGCTAAAACTTTAGAAATAATGCTGAATGGGGTTTAACGTAGTAGTGCTAGAAATGCTGAATGTTCGAAAAATCTAAAATGTACAGAAGGAATACTGAATCGATTAACTATAATGGACATGTTGGAATAGTATGAAAAAATCAAATATATGCAATAAATGGATGAAATACAATGCTGAAAAAGGTGAATAGATGTTGTGTCACTTCTCAAAGCATGTAAAACAAATGGCACAATTACTGTACCAATCACTCTTTTCATATTCTTATAAGAATAAAATAATTTACTTGAAAAACATAATTTTCCATTATCACTGCAGAGAATAACATTAAAGAGCAGTTGAAACTCGTTAATCTGAAAAGTTGGGAACTAGACAGGTGGCGCAACTGCAGATTTTCCGAACCAATAAGGCTTTGAGTAGAAAAAAAAGTAAAGTAATGCATGAACTGGTCTTTCAGGAAGCATATCTAAAATGTACTAATGTAAGCAAAAGCATTGAAAATAAAGGCAATTCTGATTGACATTAACAATATTTGGAAGTGCCTTATCTCTTAGCAAAGTAAATCACAAAAAGTAAATTTCAAGATATGTCATAGAAATGCAACATCTTTGAGAAAAAATCCTGCATGTTGATGTGGCCTTTAACAAACAAACAGCTAAAATTATTACAATTTTGTTTTTTATTCATATTCAAAAAAATCCAAACACTTTCCATTTATGTTTTTGTTACTGTTTAAGGTATCGTCTGACTCAAACGAGGGCGATGAAAATAGACTATAGATATTTAAAAATAATTTAGCCACACACGCATATATGTTTAATAAAACTTCTAATTCCGACCACGTCTCGTGTATTGAATATATAGGTGGTAAATTGTATGTAAATGTCGCTCTTTCATACCAAGTAGCGTTAATAACCTTCGCACACTTTAGATGTGCTAGTAGATGAAAACACATGTGAAACACATCTCTCAAAGGAACAATATATTTTGAAAGTATGTTTTCAATAACAGTCTTAACAAGATTCGTAGGATAATCTGCAAAGTTTCTTGTCCATATACTTTGGAATGAAAGAATGGAATATCCTGTCTGTTCACGTTCTTTGTTCCAGGGTTTATCTTCTTCGTCATGTTTTTTGGACAAATCTACCAAAATATTTTTCATTGGTCTCTCTCTATTAGCACGTGGTAGTATTATTGAAATGGTATCAACCGAAAGAGGTACTTCGTCATCTATAAAATATAAATATTCGTTATCCGCATTACTGTTATTATTATCAATATTTGCAGGATTGTTTACATGCCTTTGCTGTTGGAGCTTGTCTAATTGCCAATCTGATAGCCTTGATTCTCCATCATAGTTTGCATGTTCATTCTCCAGTTCAGTAATTATTTTTCTAAAACGTTGGAGATCTATTTCCATTTCTTCTTCATTTATAATATTTAACATTGTATTTACTATTTGGTCAATGGGCATAGGTTTTGCTCGGCCGTAGTCTTGTAATGGGTTTTTACCTTCATTTTTTGTATTTGTTTCTATTAACAGTAATAATTCAGATATAAGCATATATATAATTTCTGCAATCTTATCATGATGAAAAATAATATTGATGATTAGCCGAGCAGCATATGCATTTTTGAATGCGTTCAACGGATCTCCTGCTTGCCAGGAAGATAGATCGATTTTTGCAGGTATATAAAGACCTAAATTTATATTTTCCGTTTCCGATCCATTAGAACTAGATTGTTTGTTACCCCAGTTCCCCCTCTCTGCTTCCTCCAAGAGGTATAATGATATAATATTGACGGCCTTCTCAAAGGCAGCAACACTGTTTTTCTTAGCGTTTAATAGTTCCGATGTTATAATCTTTATTTATTCGACATTTTTAGATGTTTGTTAGTTGGTGGTGGAAAGTTAATTAATATATTTACTCATAGAGAAATATTATATAATATTGTTTTTTTTTAGTTATTTTTTATAAGTAATATGGTATTTTATTCTCTTCTTTTTTTCCCTCTATGTTGATAGCTTTCATAAAAGAATATCATCGTTTTGTTATTCGACTTGAATTCGTCAAACGTTGTTGATAGTAATCGATCTCGAAGTCATCGTTTTAGCATCAGTGGTGTTGTCAGTAATCAATCTCTTTGAGATTGTCGATATAATCTTTTTTTACATATTTATATATCATTAATCGATAGCGAGTCGACGATATACATGTATATAAATAAAAAGATTTATAATATTCGGGGAGAAATCTTTAATAAATTCACTTAATACCACAAGACTAACCTAATATTATAAAAATTAAAAATGTCGTTACCCTTTATAACAACATTACCCTCATCCTTTTTAAATACTGAAAGAGAAAAATTTAACGTTCTGAGATTTGAAAGGGCGAGACTGAATACCTTTAATGATTGGCCAGTGGAATGGATAAACCCTTCTGAATTAGCCGCAGATGGATTTTATTATTTGGAGAAAGATGATTATTGTGCTTGTATATTTTGTAGAGGAATAATTGGAAAATGGGAAAAGGACGATACACCAAAAAGAGAACACCGCCGTCATTATCCTCGTTGTTCCTTTGTAACGGGTCAACCGATCGGTAATATCCCCATCAAACAGGGTGATATTATAACTGATCTAACGAGTCGTAACAAACCAATTATGTCATACGAACAATTTAATTCACTAAAAGAATTAGATATTGTTAAACATGTGTTGGATTTTAAATTCAACCCCAATACTATTATGACTGTTCTTAATGATCATCTTCATAAAAATGGTACGTGGAACTTTACTCTTTATCATTTATTGCATGATGTGTTTGTAAAAAGTTTGGAAAATATAAAGTATCACTATAATATATTATAGAAGTTATTCCTATATGAGTGGGTGTTTTTGGTAGACTTGTCCAATATGAATACTATGAAGTATACATATATACTATATTTAATAGAAATAATGCAGAATCAACAACATGATTCAGTTGAAATTGAACCATTATCCAATATTCATTACTCGTCATGCGATGATTCTGAAAGTGATGATTCTGATTCAACCGTATCTGAATCAGACTCAATAAGATCAGTAGAGATGTTGTCCGATTTAGAAATTAAACCATTATCTAATATTCATTACTCGTCATGCGATGATTCTGAAAGTGATGATTCTGATTCAACCGTATCTGAATCAGACTCAATAAGATCAGTAGAGATGTCCGATTTAGAAATTAAACCATTATCTAATATTCATTACTCGTCATGCGATGATTCTGAAAGTGATGATTCTGAATCAAACTCGATAAGAACGGTAGAGATGTTGTCCGATTTAGATGAGGAGAATATTGTAGAAATGGATGTTGATCCTTTTCCCTTAGAAAAAAACATGAAAAGGAAATTTGAAATGACGACGGCGATGAGAGATAATAAAGAAAATGACCAAACCTTGAAAAATTATGATAAAATAAACAAATAAATAAACACATATATATACATATATATATATATATATATATATATATATATATATATATATATATATATATATATATATATATATATATATATGTATATATATTTATTTATTAAGATGGGTTATAATAATGTTATAATAAATAAATAAATGTTACCTAACAATGAGGAAATATGGAAATATTTACTATTCATCTATGACGGGATTGTTCAATGCATTAACAGAGGCTGGCTACCCAGTATCGATACACGACCTTTCTAATAGAGACAATCTTAAATCGTCATACGGAGATGATGGAGTATTACTAACTCATGCATCTGAAGAGGCTCTCTGTTTAACATTGTATTGTGCATTGGGGTTACTGATAGAAAAGGGTATAACCGTAAAGCTGAACAAATCTAACGCTGAATATCTCGTAAACTTTCCTGCGGTTAAAATAGAAGTTGTACCAAATCGCGAGGGAAATACTATCATAAGAGGTAAGATTAACAAAAGTGATGGTCGCCGGACCCCTGATGAAGATCGTATAAATGCCAATGATATCCACAACGGTGGAAAAGAATACTCTTACCCGATTAAGATACCGTATTCTAACAGCGAATTATCAGAATCGATTATTATTGAAAGTAAAGGACGTGGATTAAAGGTTAACGATACACTTTTTACCACATTGTATATAGATTCTTATGATAGAAGTCGATTACCTGACATCATTAATGATATTGCGTATTCGCCTTTAAAATTTTTTAGAGCGATAATATTGAGAGGAAAACGACTATAACATGTCAAGCTTAATAGAATATTCTAATGAATACTATAAGCGGTTATTTTTTAATAAAGACATTACTCTTGTTACCCAACGTATAAAGGTGATAGAAAAAAATGTTATTGTTAACATTTCCAGATTCAACAAAGATGGAAGTGATAATCAGTTTTTTATAAAAAAGAAAAAGGTTTACTCTGTAAATAATATTATGAAATTGGCTTCATGTACTGCTGAAAACGACGACGATTACCAGATTAACGAAATGTTAAACATAAATGCAATTAGTGTCTTAATATATGGTATATGCGAAGGCTGGAGCAAATCTATAGTTGATATTATAGAAGAAGAAATAATAAAGAAATGTTTCCATGTAAATTATATAACTAGTAAAGAATACAAAAGATACTATAAAATGAGAAAAAAATACATTAATAAAAATAAAACGGCTATTGTCGATGGCACAATAGCACACATATTGGAATTTTTGTGGAATAATTGTTTTTTCAATAGACTGTATAGAGAAAGGTATGAAAAGAAAAAGTTAACATTGAAGATGATAAATAGAAGTAGTTTATCAATGTCTACAAAGGCATTAATTAAACATGATCTCTCTTTTTTCAGTTAAAAACCGCAGCCGGTATGGCGATTTACAATTACCTTACACAGAGGAATGTAAAATTTAAAGTAGTAAAAGAAGCCGCTAAAACTTTATTTTGCAAAGAAAAGTATCTTCGATATTCAAAAAAAATTGATAATGATAGTAGAAATACAAAAAAAATACACAATTCTGGTATTTTCTATATTAATAAGAACGATAAGACTAGTTGTGCATTATTGTTATGCAAATCCGTTTCTAAAGAATCACACTCTGAAAAAAATACAAAGAGTAAGATATTTAATCTCTTGCGATTATTTGGTGCAATCGATACAGTCGACACAAAATTTATAAAATGTCTAGGTGTTGTATATGATAGTATAGATATGGATTATCTACTTCCCAATCAAAAGAGCAAGTCGTTAGACTATTATCTGAATAATAGTAATAATATCACTTCCTTTTACAGTTCGTGTATAAATAAGAAAAAAATAATTGATAGTAATGATAATGATGGTATTATAGACGTGATATCAAATTGTATTAGAGATTCTGTCAAGGAACCCATATATTGTGATATCAACGAAGAACATCTTTATCTCGATATGAATAATACATATGTGCCTCC